CCCTTCCAGCAACAGCCAAGAGCCCTGTGGACCGATCTCGCCCTCGATCCCAGGAGGTAGACTACGGCAGCCCCGAGGCCTGGGAGCCGCATCTGCCGGGCAGATGGCAGCTCCGAGGGGGCAAGGTGCGCGAGGAGCGCTGGTTATCCTCCCCCGGAGCCAGCAGCACCTGCTCTCCCTCGGGAGACCAGCGCCGCAGGGCAGAGCCAGCCTAAGTCAGGCAGCCTGCCTGAGGCCTGCTAGGGAACGGCCAGGTCACCTGCTCCAACGCGCTGCCCTGCAAGGGGTCCCCTCGGCAAGGAAGGGCGCATCCCGGAGCAGCCTTCCCTGCGCCCAGAACTCCGGGTGGGTCGCGGCTGGAGGAGTTGGGGGTGCAGTTTAGTGGGATAAGCCAGCCCGCCGTCCCCAGACTGTCAAGGTGTAGGTTGACTTCCAGAGGCCAGACCCCATAGGGGAGAGAGAGAAGGGACTGAAAAATGAGTCAGGCGGTGTGGCACGTGGGCTGAGTATGACCTTTGCATTCGGGCCTGAGTTTGAATCCCAGCCCTGTCTTTTGCTAGCCCTAAGACTCGCGCAGGGCAGCTCTTGTAGTCTCCCTGCAAAATAGGGCGCGCGGCTCACCAGCTGTCCGCGAGGCTCTCGGGAAACTTATGAGGGGAAAAATGAAATGAGGCGTCTGGTGGCTGGCAGACAGTGATGCGCAGTCCACATGAGAGAAGCCACTTACTGAGCGAGGGAGAGCAGCAGCCGTCCGTCCTCATCCCATCCCAGGGGAATCCGCGGAGATTACCTAGCTCAGCCTGTAATTTACGTGTGGGCACACAGGGCCGGGGCTACTCCAAATCCCACCGCTGGTCCAGGGCAGGAACAGGAATCAAGGCTGCTTCTGCGGCCTCTCCCCACTCATTAGGGCCCTACCGAGTGTCTGCTTTGAGCTCAGCTTTGAGGCCAAGAGCTGGGAGAGAAAATAAAAACATAACAAGCAGGAAGTTAAAGTTATAAGAAGCTCTTCCATTTATATGATGCTTTCTATTTTTCGCCCAAAGCATTCTTCACGTCCGTTATTGACCTTGCTTCTCCAAATACATACCTTTCGGGGTAGAGGGGAGAGGTTGCATCCCCCTTTAAGTGATGTAGCAGAAAGAATCAGTGACTTAGGGAAGGTGGAGGCTAATGAGGGAGCCAGCAGACACCACTTCCAGCTGTGATCTCAGGTTCCCGGAAGGGAATCCCTGCGGTGGTGACAGCATGCAGGGCTAGGACCACCCCTCTCACCCCACGTGACCCACTGCTTCCTGACTGCTGCGTTGGCACCAAGCAATTTACATGTCAAGCACCTGCCGCAGCCCCACCGCACGGAAGAGAAGCAGAAAGGCAGGGAGGGCTGGGAGAGCGATGAGAGAAACCAGGTATGAACTCCAGCTGTTCTCGTGTTGACCTTGCCTTGCCCAAACAAGGCTGAAGGTGACGGCGTCCCACCCGCCCAGCTCAATACCCACTCCTTGGTGCAGCAAGTACCGCTGGTGGCACGTGGCCCTGACAGTGTGAAAAGAAGTTCTGCACGGGACTCAGGTGGCGTCCCACGTCTCCACCGCGCCCAGCCGTCACCTTGCAGAGGCCTCCCTCAGATCTCTGTGTCTTCCAGCCCTCAGTGAGACTTCTCTCTGTCTGAGTCAACACGTGCTCTGAATCCCATTCCTACCTTTGTCTCCCCAGCCCAGGGGCCAAGAGTTGGCTGAGGCCAGCTCCAGATGAAGGAATGGTCCAGGGAGGACAGGACTGGAGGCCACGCAAGGAGTCCGGCAGTATGTGCTCTGGGCAACAGTACAGGGTGAAGGTCACCGGGACAGTCAAGTTCCCATCCACACTCTGCCTGGCTCAGTGATCCTTCTGCTTCTCCGTGCCTCAGTTTCCCCTCCTATCCAATAGGGATAGTAATCGTTCCTACTCAGTGTTTTATTGTGGAGAAGGCAATTATCTATGCACGGTGCCCGCACATAGCAAGTTCTCACTAAATGTTGTTGTTATTATTATTAGCTATTGACTTTTTTGTGGTTTTTAACAAACTGCTTCTCACCTCTAGGCCTGACTCTACATCATAAAAGCAGAAATTTGGAGATCATATTTTTGGAAGTTCTCCCAAATCTAAGACAGATTTTTTAAAAAAATACCTCTTGAGCAGGGCGGGGTGGTGCTCACTTGTAATCCCAGCACTCGGGAGGCTGAGGCAGGAGGATCGCTGTGAGTTCGAGACCAGCCTGGGCTACACAGTGAGTCCCAGGTCATTCTCAACTACATAGTGAGACCCTGTCTCAAAAAAAAAAAAAACTTCCTTTGAAAAGTGGGCTCGTTGGCAACTTGCTTTTGGTTCCCTTCCTGTCTCTCTCAATAAATTTTTCCTACTCTTAGCCTCCAAAAAGAAAAAGAGTACATTGTGAGAGCCACAGGGACTCTGAACCTCTTGGTGACTCTACCCACCCCCCAGTTAGTGACCAAAGAATTGCCAAATTGCTACACAGTGCAGTTTCAAAACTCTGGAGTTCCTCAGTCCGCCCCCTCCCCGGTTTCCAGGTAGGGAAACTGAGGCCCAGTCTGGGAACGTGGAACCCAGGTCTCTTGGCTCCCTGTCTCACTCCTATCACTGGGTCCTCTGATGTGCTCGGGATGGTGTATAGGAAGCGGGGGAGTCACCGCAGTGCACTGTTTTTCATAACATAGAATTTTATTAGAACATATTATTTAGTTTGTGTAACAATAACATGGAATGTTTCTTTAAAATAGAAAGACCGCAGTCAGTTTTCAAAGTTTTTCTTAAACATGCATCCCCTAGGCTCCCCTAGAAAACTTTAGAAATAGTGAAGACAAGTAGAGGACTTTGGGGATCAAACCTTACCAGGTCACAAAAGATACCCCACGTGTGTGCCACCTGCCCATGCCCTCCCCTGTTATTCCGTGTCAATAGTGTGTGAGGAGGGCTGGCGGGAAAGGCTTGAGAGTTCTAGGCTGGGAAACACCACCGGAGAAACTGTCTGTGTGCATTGACGGTGCTGGCTGGGGCTGGCTGGGTGGTGCCTGGGCTGGGCACCCCAGAAAGCCCCTAGTGCCTCTCAGGCCCAAGCAAGGAGATTAGAACAGCAGGTAGGCCTCACACCATGACACTGCACACGGTAAGAGGGTCCTCAACAGCCTGAGACAAGGTGGGTGCGACTCAGCTCCAAAAGACAAGTGGTGAAACAGGCGCAGGGGACTTGGAAACATGGGCTGACTCCCAACCCCAGCTCTGAGAGCCTCCCACAGCCTGTTGGGTTTCTCCTGTCTGGGAGTCCGAGAGACCTGCAGTCCCTCTCCCTAAAGAGTCCTCACTTCCAGAGCAATGAGCAGAGCCAGACTGCGGACACTAGAAGGGGCAAAGGAAGGATGGATCCCACCCCAGCTCAGAAAGGGCAGCCCCTGTCCTTTGATCCCAAACTGGATGCCACCCAATGGCCACTGAGAGCTTACTCTGCCCCCAGGGTGCTGCCTGCCGCTCTACACATATCTGTGCACCCAATATCTTAGAAGGTGGCTGTGATTGTCTCCTCTGACTTACAGACAGGGCTTTTCAGACCCGAAAGCTTAGTGCTGGTCCAAAGCCACACAGCCAGTGAGTTGGTAAGTCCCAGCCAAGCTCTCTACTGTTGGGTGACACTGCCTCCCTGAGGACACTGGCAGTGAGGAAAGCAGGAACAATCCTCTTTCGGCACTCCAGCCACACAGAGCAAGGGGGTGCAGACTAGAGAGCCCAAACCTGTCTAGGCTGAGGGTCCCTTTGGGAATGTCATGAAAGCGACTTGTCCTTTCCAAGCCAGAACGTTGCTGTGCCTACAATTTCTGGGCTGGGCCCTATAAATGGTGTGATTGGCTGTCTCACCCGTGCACCCTATGGCGGCAGAACAACTTTTCACACCTGAAGTCCAGAGACAGCAGAACAATCTGAAGAGACCACCAAATCTGCATTCAGAACCTGTGAGGGCTCAACCCTGATCAGAGGGTGGTAGCCAGCAGCTGCTGGGCACAGGACCCCAAGAGGGCTGGCTGGGTGCGACCCTGGATGCTTCGGCTCCAGACACTTTACTGGAGCACTTTCCCACCACGGATGCGATGCTGATGTCCAGATGACCCCACAGGGGCCAGGGCAGAGAGAGGGTCCTTTCCAGTGTGTGGTGAGTCCCAGACCGGGATGATAAGCGGTCCACCTGCTGATCGAATCTTTGGCACCAAGACCAGCCCCAACAGTGAACCAGTGCTCTGCTCATGAATCCAAAGAAGTCTCAGTCCGGTGAGGGTCAATCAGACCTGCATTCAATCCCAGCTCCACGTCCTCCCACCCGTGTTACCCTGAGGCTGTCACTGCTCTCTCGGAGCCAGAATTCCTCTCTGCTATAAAAACGGTGACACAGCTTCAAAGGAAGATTAAGGCCCAAAGTGCAGAGAGAGTCAGCTCCTCACCAGGAGGAGGGCTTCCCATCCACAGGCCCCTGGGGCCCGCACGAGTGGCGGAGGGCCAGTTGTTCCGAGGAAGTGGACTTCCTAAGTAAATAGAGCGGAGAGGAGACAACAGAGGGCCACCTGGGAGGCCGGTCTAGGCACAGCAAGGAGAGGTTCAGTGCGACTGGCTCAGAGAGACAGAAGCAGAAGCAGAGAGGCTGAAAACCTCAGAGAGGAAGAACCCTCCCACGTGGTCGGAGGCAAGAGAGACAAGGCAAAAAAGGGACAGGCTGGCCACGTAAAGCAAGGGACAAGGGACAGAACAGAGAGGAAGCACAGAGGGGGAGTGAAGGGGCAGAGGGAAGCCCAAAGCCCCAGAGAAAGGACAAAAGGCGAGGATGGCACAGACAGAATGGCAGCAAGGAAAGGGCCAGGACGGGAGAGGCAGGCGTTCCCTGAGAAAAAGCCACGTCTAAAAATCTGTAACACCCAGTTTTCCCCAAGCACCCTTCCCCGGTGTGACGCCATTTGTGTATTTTAAGGACGTGCAGTTGCACTCTGCATATCTCGTTTTTGTTTAAGGGAACCATGGGTAGTATATTTAAAGATGTGAAGGCCTGGGAATTACAGAGGAAGAAATGTGGGATTGTTTCCTACACCCTCTCCCTCCGTTATCCGAGTTTCTCAAAACTTTCACATCTGCAGTCCCAGCTCCCTGGTGAGTTGGCCCGAGGTAAGGAGGAAAGTAGAGAAAGAATTCCTGCTTCTTCCTTTCCGGCAGTGCCAAGCGGGTGCCAGGATCAGCAGCCCAGCACCCTCCTCAGACCCTTCCCTCAGGCTCCCAAGACCTGAGGGAAATGCACGGCTCCGGGCCCACAACCTCGGGTTCTTCCGCGGGGATTCTGACTCAACCATGGGGGCGCAGCGCCATCTGGGGGCTATGAAAGAGACTGCGACATAGGCAGCACAGGCGCTCCAGTCCTGAGGCAGGGGCGAAACAAAAGCAGCCCAGCACCCTCCTCAGACCCTTCCCTCAGGCTCCCAAGACCTGAGGGAAATGCACGGCTCCGGGCCCACAACCTCGGGTTCTTCCGCGGGGATTCTGACTCAACCATGGGGGCGCAGCGCCATCTGGGGGCTATGAAAGAGACTGCGACATAGGCAGCACAGGCGCTCCAGTCCTGAGGCAGGGGCGAAACAAAAGCTGAGGGCCCGGGGCCCGGGGCCCTGGGTTATGGTGACTTGGGCGTTAAAACGATCTCAGTTTTGCCCCAGGCCTAGGGAGCATCCAGGTTACAGATGTCAGGCGCCCAGCACAGTAAATGCTAATAAATGTTTGTTTGGTTCAACTGTGGACCGCCAGAGTCCTGGCCCAACGGCAGAGGAATCTGCCTTTGAGAGCCCTAAGGTGACTCGATAGCTCCGGCCGGGCAAAGGGCAAAAGATGTGGAGCCTCTCCCCTCACGTCATCGGCTCGGCCTCATCTGCCCTGGCTCAGGAGAGGGAAAATCCAAGCCCCTCGGCTGGCATCTGGAAAACAATAAGGCAGCTGTGGGGAAGTGACTAATGAGCACTCTGGGGAGCAATTCAGGACGTCGTGCATGGAAACTTATCTCATTCAAAATTGATAAGTTACCGCTAATTAGAAAGGAAATGTGCTGAGCTCCCCAGCTCTTCGCAGAAGGCTGTGGGCGCACCTCCTCTCTCGGTCCTGCAACCCCACAGGAAGGGCTCTAAATGCTCTTCCGGTCCCTCACCACGCTCTCCATCTTGTGGATGTGCAAAATAATGAGCTGAGTGGAGCCCTGGACAGAAAGCCGGTCTTCGGGCTCCCACCCTAGACCGTTTGTCTCCACCAACGGCACCGCCCAGACTTCCCTGTGTGGTCAGAGCTTGGACAGGTTGCTCGCCACGACGTCATCCCCACACAGCTCATCCCCACTTCTCGGTCCCCTGCCCCCAACTAGGTCATGGCTCCCCTCAGCGGGCTGGAACCAGACTCCTCGGAAGCTTCCTTCTATATATTTTTTCTTTCATTGCTTTACTCACTCATTCCACAGACATTCAGTGGCTAAGAGCTTGGGCTCGAGTCCAACTGCCTCGGTTTTAACCCTTTCCCTCTCATGCATTTGGGCAAGATACTCAACCTCTCTGGGATTCAGTTCCTTTTATTAAAAGTAAGAATAATATAAATACCTGTGGGTGAGGATGAGAGGGCATCAGCGTGTGCAGCTCTCTTTAGGGTCCCTAGAAACAAAATGACACAGCCCCTGCCTGAGACCTAACAACATGGCTTAGAGCAGAATGGAGGCAGGAGAATGTACTTTGGAATCTCAGGCGAGGGATGCCTGAGACGCAAAGCCAGAGGGTCCCAGAAGCTGAGTTTACAGGAGAGTAGCTGGTAGCCAAGTGGGGACAGACTGATGAGGGTGATCGAGGCAGGATCAGCACAAGCCAAAGCAGAGGACAGTGCGGCATGTTTAAGGAAATTGAACAGTTCAGTGTCAACTGGGCATGGTGTCCCACACCTGTGATTCCAACATTTGGGAGGCTGAGGCAGGATGATCGTCATGTTTGAGGCCAGCCTAGGATATATACTGAGTTCAAGGCCAGCCTGAACTACATAGTGAGACCCTATCCTAACAAAACCAGACCAGTTTAGTGTCACTGGAACCAAGATTGAGACAGGGAGCCAGCAAGTTGGAAGAGGTGGCTAGGCTGGGTCACACTGGGCTTCACATGCCACAGAGAGCCAGGCCATGTCCTGCAGGTGACAGGGAGCTCGGGATGGGCTTTACACAGAAGAGGGACATAGTCAGGTTGGTGGTCTACGATCATTCTTGACTCCAAGGGTTAGGTTTCCTCTGCTTGGCCTCCCCTCCACAGTAACTGCTGCACTGGGTTGGTTTATTTCTAGTAGTCCGAGATCAGGCCAATCTCCCTTCCCAAACCCATGCTGCCGTGTAATTGTCATCACAGCAGGGTGGAAGCCTGTAGGGGAGTGGGCTCCTCATAACGGGACGAGTCTGGCTGGATTTCTGAGGTCTCTCAAGCACTTCCTCACCGTGTGACGCTCTGCACTGTGCTGTGATGCAGCAAGGCCCTGCTCAGATGCTGGCACTTCGCTCCCGGACTTCCCAGCAGGCCAATGTTATAAATTACCCAGCCTCAGGTTTTCTGTTATAGCAGCAGTAAACAGACTAAGATAGAAAACATCCAGCTATAATATTCTGTAAACCACAGAACGTGATATTTCAAACAACTAAGTCCCTGTCCCTGACAAATAGGGTGTACTCCTTGTCCAACAATTAGAATGCACTGAAACATAAAGCTGAGCCCTTTGAGGTCAGGGACTGTGTTGTGTTCATTTCACATCTCCAGGCATTTGCGAGATGAATCAGTACCCACAGATGGCAGAGTCCGGACCAGACCCAAGCGGTCCTTCCCTCAGGCAGAGACCTTGTAAGGTTGCCAGTGTCGGGTCCACTGCTCAGTTGGCCTCTTTACTGCCTAAGATCAGGCTTGTAAAGGGCATCTTAGATGGGCCTACTTAGTCCTGATGATCTGCATTCTAAATTTTCCAGTAGAAATCTAAATAAATTAGGATTCCAAAGGCAGCCTTCCAGCCCCCACTCCACAGGATCTGCTGGGGATGTGTTGGTGGTTCTTGAGGTGCTGATTGGCTTGTAAAATGCTGTTTATGGTAATAGAGTTGGTCCTCCAAATCTGTGGGTTCTGCACCTGTGAATTTAACCAACCGCAATCAAAAGTATTCAGCAAGAAAAATCGAACATGTACATTTTTTCCTTGTTATTATTCCACGAACAACACAGCATAAGAACGACTTAGTTTTACTACTGTAAGTAACCTAGAGATAATTTAGAATATAGGAGGATATACATAGATAAGCAAATACTGGGCCATTTCATGAGGGTCTTGAGCATGTGTGGATTATGGTATCTGGGGGATCCTGGAAATGATCCCCCATGATTCTAAGGGGTGCCTGCCTGGACTCAGTGGCCTCAGAGAGCAGCCTCCCTTTGGGCTCCCAGGCCTAATGTGGTCCAAGTCAAGGCTGTAGGACCTTAGCAGCCTTGGCCTTTCTTGCTGGTTTGTATTAAGGGAAAAAATCAATAAAAACAAAGAACATTATCATCCCTGCCTGTTTGTGCCTCGCTAGGAGTCTAATGAATGATCACAGGGCTGCCTTAGACTCGTAATTCAGAACAATCCCAGCCAGTTCCATACCAACACTCAGTCTCCACTTCTCCCTGTCCACCCCAACCCACACCTCAGCCTCAGCCCCATATATTAGTTTAGACCCCATTCCACCCCTGTGGAACGAGGCTAAAATGTAGGTGGGAACTGCCACAGGTGACAGCTACAGCAGAGCATGAGACAATCACAGTCGCAGACAGGTCAGGACCAAGCGAGGACCTCAAATCCCAAATGTGGGTACCCGTGTCAGGACATGCCCACTGCGAGGCAGAGACTATGTCCTGCCCCCAACCTCCCACGGCAGGGACTGAGCCATGTGGAGCCAGCCTGAGGTGAAGGATGAAGCCTGCTCAGGCTGGAGCTGGGCTGGGTGGCAGGCAGCCTTCCCTTCATCCTAACCCTGATCAGCTTTACTCAGGAATTCACACAAGGGCTGAACTCTCAGATCCCCCATAAATCCCTCCAAGGACCCCACTGAAAGCTAGACTTTCACAGAGTGACTGCTGAAAGGACAAGGGAAGAGGGCAGGTGTTCTCACAGTGTTCAGAAAGGTCACTCACCTGACTGGGTGGCACTCAGCCCTGGGAAGTGGAGTCGCAATCTGTGCCCATTCCTCCCACGTGGCCACTAGAGTTAGGGAACCAGTATGTTGTGAGGTGTTCCTGGAGTGACAGGAAACAGCTCGGAGTTCTGGGAGCCACCACGTGTCAGCTCTGTACCCTCAGGCCAGGGAACTTCCCTCCTGGGGCTTACTTCATCAGTACAGTGGGGACACCAGCGCTTGGCTGGTAGGCCTGTAAGGGGAGATGCCTGTCGCAAGTGAAGTCTGAAGCAGCCTTTGGTACAATGCCAGGTACACAGTGGTACTCACTGTGTTAGTTTCCACCTTGCTATGTCCCAATATCCCACCTGTCCAAGTCTCCCAGAAGGTGGACCTTTGCTGTTCTGGTAGCCAGGACATCTGGACAGACGTGTTCAAAGACAACTGTGTCACTAGGCCAGGGATTTAGCTCAGTGGTTCCGGTGCCCGTCTTGCAAGCACAAGGTCCCGAGTTCAATACCCGGTACCAAAAAAAAAAAAAGACAACTGTGTCAGCGAGGCCAAGAAGCCATGGGCCAGCTGTCTACAATCGTCTTCTGTGGCTTAGCAGACTCCTCCCATAGTGGCAGGCACTGGGACCTCCCCACCACCCAGCTGCACTCCATCTCGGGGACAGCAAAACACTTCACAGCCAAGAAAGAAGTCACAGAGGCCTTCAACTCCCCAGTTTTCACTCCATCATGGAAGAGAATCAGTCCCAACTGAAGAAATACCAGTTTAGGCTTTTAACTCTCATGAATAAGGCAACCGGTGAGCTCATGACTGCCATGTTTAATTTGTGCTGTGCACACTGGACACTGTGATACTAGTGTCAGCCCTCTGAGAGCACCCCATCCCCCACACAAAGGAGGATGTGGGGTGGAGGGTCAAGGACAGGGAGGGAGAATAAGAGCTGCATTTTTTGGCCACTCAGAGGTGTGGGAGGATGCTCCCCAACTTCTCTTGCACTCACAGGCTCAATAGGGACAGGAGAGAGGTGAAGGGTGATGCGGGCAGGAAATGTGACTCCCCCACAGGATGTTACCTCTGCCACAGGCCAGGGACAGGGAGCAGCCCTGAACAGCTGGGTGCTCTGGGTGCCAGCTGGCTATCTTCCCTCGATGAAAGCAGGCAAAGAAGCTACAAGAGCCAGAAGGCCAGCTCAGTCAGCAGTGTCCTTACTGCTTCCTTCAGGTCAGATTCCCGGCTCATCTCCCAGCTGGGAGACCTGAACTGCCTGGGGCCCCCCACAAGCTGCAGGAGCTCCACATCAGGACCCAGGTGTGCCCTCTGCAGGACCTTCCTGGGTCAGGGACACCAGCAGGGCTGACAATCACCCTCAAGACCCCTTCTGTCTTTCTGATCTGTGGCCCACCTGTTTGAGCAGAGGAGGAGGGGCTGACTTCACTGCCTTTGTCCTCTTACACACGTGCACACATTTAGGAGGGCAACAGTTGAGGAGAAAGGGACACAAGTGACTCGCCCAACCTGACAATTCTGAAGGAAGACGTTTTCCTTGGGTGGAAGCAAAAGAAGAAAAGCTACAGAGGAGCATCCCCACAGGCAGCTCTGCAGCACCCTCAGGGCCCAGCCTTTCCTGCCAGAGCCACAGCGATCTCTGGTGCTCAGGCGACGGGGTCCTTCTGGTCTCCCACACATCAATCTGCTTCTCAGGAAGAGATGTCGGCCATGGTCTCCATGAAGAGTGGGGCTCTCGCACCTGTTCTGGGCCAGAAAGGCAACGCCCTCACTCAGTTCACACCTGGAGGTACAGCTGTCCCCACTGCGGCTCCTCCACAGGCCTCAGGACAAACTCCCTGAGGAGGGCGAGGCTGCTTCTTGGTCCAGCTGTGTGGATGCAAGGCTGTTAGCTGTTGTACAGGGGAACCACCCGGGTGATCTTCCGCCGGCAGATGGGGCACCTCTTGGGCTCTGGCAAGGCACGGTAGCACTCGTGGCAGGAACACACGTGACCACACTCCAGAAAGACACAGGATTTGAAGTTGCTCAGACACACGACACAGGCACTCTTGAGACTCTCCCTGTCCTCTGGTGAGGCTTGGCTCAGCAGCTGGGCCTCACGCTCCCGGAACTCCTCCTCCATCTGCTCTAGGCGCAGGCGCTCCTGCCACTGCAAGTACTGCCTCCGGAGGATAAAGAAGAGGGTGGCACACGTGGCAAAGCCAAACACCAGGGCCAGGACCTTCCAGAGCCTCACACTCGACTCCTGCCTCTGCAGCAGGCTGTCAAAGTCCTGGCTGCTCAGATAGTACTGCATGCCTTGTTTGGGGGGCTGCAGGCGGACGGAGTTGTTGTCCAGGACCAGTTCTCCAACCCCAGTGAGGGTGGCCCCCACCTTCAGCATCTCCTCGGTCTCCTGGATACCTTTGGGCCTCTCACCACTGATGTAGTGGCCAATGACATCCGTGAAGGACTGGACCGAGGGGTGGAACTTCTCGTACACAGTCTCTAGGCCCAAATTCACTGACTCCAGGGGCTTCAGCACTCGGACAGCCACATCCACACCATCTTCATGAGGCACCAGATCAAAAGGCGCCGTATTGGTCCTCTGGTGGATGATTTTTGAGTAGTCATTCCTAAAAGAATAACAGAGCTGAAGATGAAACGAAGGGTAGCAAGTACCGAGCACCCAGGCAAGGTCAGAGATCACCTAAGCACCAGGATGACAGGGTCAAGGGTGAAGTAACTGAAGGATACAAGTGAAATCACTACCCAAGACCTCACCACAGGGAGGCTCAATTTTTTAGGTCCCCAGGTAGTATCAGTGGGCAATTAACTACTGTCATATGGGTCATCTTTATCATTTATTCCCCTTTGCCTCTGTCCAAAAATATGTGAGAGAAAAACCCACTAGAATCAGACGGAAAAATGGTGCTCCATGCAGTGGCACAAATTATTATTATTATTATTATTATTATTATTATTATTATTATTATTATTATTATTATTATTATTATTATTATTATTATTATTATTATTATTATTATTATTATTATTATTATTATTATTATTATTATTATTATTATTATTATTATTATTATTATTATTATTATTATTATTATTATTATTATTATTATTATTATTATTATTATTATTATTATTATTATTATTATTATTATTATTATTATTATTATTATTATTATTATTATTATTATTATTATTATTATTATTATTATTATTATTATTATTATTATTATTATTATTATTATTATTATTATTATTACTATTATTATTATTTGGTACTGGGGATCAAACTTGGGTCCTTGCACTTGCAAGGCAGGCAGCAAGTGGCACTGAGCTAAATCTTTGGTCCAAAACAAAATTATTTTAAACATTGCAATCATTAATCTATAACAGCAATTCTCAAACCTTAGTGTGTCTAAGAATCAACAGATTCCAGATTCCCCATGCTGTAAATTATGGTTTGGCAGGTGTGGAAGTAGGCCTAGGGAATCCTCATGGTAGCAAGCTGACTACGGGCTTCCAATGGAGGCCCACACAGCACACCCAGCTGCTCTTTAACCTATCTCGGGAGAGCTGAAGAAGGCACCAGCAGCCAGGACCCACCTCTGAACAGACCGAAAGTAAGTTCCTACAGTGAAGAAAAGATACACACCAAAGGTGGGTTGTTCGATTCCACACCATCTTGTGCTCCTGAAGTGTCAGCCGCTGAATCACCCCCTTGCAGTTCTCCACAAACTGGCTGTTGAGTGTTTCCTTAACAGATCGCACAGCTCCTAAGTAGAAATAAGTCAGGTGATTCCTGAAGAATAGTTCTGTCATCTCCTTGAGCTAATTTAAAATATGTTTTTAGTTTGAGTTACATTAATTCATCAAAATGACAATATCTATATTACCACAGGCTCTTTTAGGAGAACTCTGATAAGTATCTTACATAGGTAACATCATTTAAGTCTCATAATAACCCATAATCTCTAAAATAATCAGAGAATATGAAAGGTTCTAGTATTCTTACTTAACATCAGATGGCAGTAACCCAGGTTTTTTTACTCCAAAGTAAACTGAATTCTGAACTCTGGCCCCAACAAAATAAAAGGCACTTAATGACAGCCAAAGTGACCTTTACCAAACTTTTGGAAGAAGGAAGTTGTTTTCCTAAACAAATATACCTTCAATAACAGCATAAGGTACACATTTTCCAGGTGCTTCTGAAAGAATACTCTTTAAATCTTCACCCAACTGGATTTTCTTAGCTCCCTAAATGCAAAAAAAAAAAGAATATATGAAATTACCCACTGAATACTGACATGCTCAAAGTTTTTTTTTTTTTTTTCTGATGTTGCAAGAATAAGAACATTGGACAGGAAGGAGCCCACATAAAATCTGATTTCAAAGTGTGTCCCAGAATTTTTAGCATGTGAACAGGTCAAGGAATTGCTTCTGTCCTCTTCCTTCACTGCACAATGGAGTTGCCAATCCAATCTTATTCAGTTACAAAAAACAAAACTTCTTTTCATTTGAACACATTCTACCACAAATATAAAAGGTACTTTCAACTTGCATACTGCTGAATAAACATCACGTCATTTCTTCTTGACAGCACAGAACTATGGCCCAAAGAGTTCAAGTATAAAGCACCTAACCTCGTGTTTAGTACATGGTAGGGGCTCAAGAAATGGCAGGTGCTATTACCATTGTGCCTTAGTACTGATCTCTGTACTGTAACATCATCAGGGGGTGCCTGTGCTTTATTAGGGTAGGTCTCTGTTAACTGGTGTCCAACAATGTTCTACTTTTAAATCTTTCTTCCCTCTCACAATGAAGCAAGCAGTTACTTCTGCTGCTGTCTCCCTCCAACATTCCCTAGTCCTCCTACCTTTCTGCGCTCCCTCTTCCCTGCCTTACTCTAACCCTTTCTCACACGTCATACAATCTGATCAAGTGTTTACTGTCTGTCTAGCTGTATTAGAATGGAATATCTCCTAGTGCCAAGAACAATGCCTGACACACAGCAAGCACTCAATATATATCTGAAGAATAAAGTAGTGACTTCTTAAAGACTTAGATATGCTAAGCATGTTAAATGCCTAAACCTATCTAATGCTGATAGCATCTCTACACAGTAGGCATTATTATCCTCAATTACAAAAAAGGAACTGAGGCTCAGAGAGGTAGTTATTTGCCCAAAGTCACACAGCTACTAAAGAATACAACACAGGATGGTAGATGAGAATTATAAGGGGAAGAGGAACAGAGAATATGGTCAGAAAGATCTGGGGTTGAATCAAGCTTCAATGTGGCTTTGGGCAAGTCGGTTCACCTGACTCTCATTTCCCAAAACAGTAAAAAAAAAGAAAACAAGTTTTTTTGTTTTGTTTTGTTTTGTATGGGGATCAACCTTGGGACCATGCGCTTGCAAGGCAGTCAGTGAAAGCACTGAACCAAATCCCTGGCCCCAAAAGATTTTTAATGTGGATTAAATGAACTTTCAGGTGTGGAAGAATCCAGCCCAGGGGTTGGCACATGAGGGGCATGCAAAAATTAAGCATTTCCATCACTGTAAGAAACATACAAGACAAGACACAAACCCTACTGGGAGGTGGGGGTGGGTACCAGGAATTGAGCTTGGGACCTTGCACTTACAAGACAGGTGGTGGCACCACTGAGCTCAGTTCCCCCCACCCCCCCCCCCCCGCGCCCAACTCTGGAAGTCTGTAATTGAACCAAGAAAAGAGAAACTAAAATATTAGGGGCCCCTAATCTTTCCCCAGGAAGGGCTGCTTCCTCCTCCTTTAGAAACTAATTGCCTGGGCTGGGGATTTAGCTCAGTGGTTCGGTGGCCTGCCTTGCAAGCGCAAGGACCCGAGTTCAATCCCCAGAACCAAAAAAAAAAAAAGAAAAGAAACTAATTGGCAAAGCTTTTAAGGTCACCCAAAGATGGGGCCTGGAGAGTTCCTTGCTTTAAACAATTTCACATCCAAGCCACTTGAAGCCAAATTGGTTTTGGAGTCAGAAAGTGAAGTATCAGTTACACTCAGAGCCAATCAAGAGTAACCTGATTTTGTAATTAGGTGGACAACAGGGCAGCTGGAATCTCACTAGAATGCCATTTGCACAACAAATCCAATTGCCTCATAAAGTGATTCATTCCAGATTCCAAAACTTCTTTTCCTGCAGGGATTTAATTGTTTCCAAGCCCTTACTGAAAACAATCTGATGATACAGACATTGGGTTTGGGAATCCACCTTTTCTACAAGTGTCAACTTAGGCTTTTGGCCAATGAACTGTGAAATTCCAGACAAACAAACCGCCAATATTTATTGAGCATCTATGACTTGTCAAGCACTAAGAAGAACTCAGGAGAAAAGAGGAAAGATAAGATCTTGTTAACCTAAAAAGACCAATCTCTCTAGACTGGTCCCACCAATACAACAAAGCAAAGTGGTCAATCAGAAAAGTCTTAGCTTTGTGCTCAAAAGACCAAACTTTAAGTTCCACGCTGATTAGATGCATGACCTTTCCTCTGAATCTCCATTTCCTGCTTTACAACTGAGGGATAACTGTCACTTTACCCATCTCAGAAAATTATTGTACAGAAAAATAACAGAGGAAAAAAAGTAAAAACTAAAACAGATGGAAATGTACTATGAAAACTGTAAAGTGCAGTTCAATAAAGTGTTATTTTTAAAAATAACTAAATATATCTGGGTGTGGTGGCACTGACCTGTACTACAGGCACTCTGGGAGGCTGAGGCAGAAGGCCTGCAAGTTCAAGCTCAGCCTGGGCAACTTGGACTCTCCTAATTTAAGAAATAGGGCCAGGGATTTAGCTCAGTGGTGTTGCCACCTGCCTCTAGTTCCATCCCAGGTACCAACACACACACACACACACACACACACACACACACACACACTTTTTTTATTCTTAAGCGGGGGCTGGGGACATAGCTTAGTGTGAAGATCCTCCCCATTCAACTCCCAGCACATGGAAGAAAAAAAAAAGCCCTATAATATAAAAAGGAAGCATTTGTAGAAACAAGGAGCTGAGTGGTTAAGGAAAAGGGTCTTTGCACTCGCTCTTCCTTCAGTCTGAACTGTTCTTTGGAAATCTCCACGTCCCTCCCAGGTCCTCCTGGCTCTGAAAAAAAACGTCACCTTTTAAAACAGCAACCCCTTTTCCCTAGCATTTCCAACGCCCCCTTCCTGAAGCACGTCTCCTGTCACACCACCTGATAAAGCGGTTGACATCGGTGTACGGACTCGAACGGAACATCCGCTGTCAGACACTTCTGCCCGTCCTACTCACTGTATGGAGCACAGCAGATGTCCGAGAAATACTTATCGAACGAATAAACTCGAAAGTCACTCAGAGTAACGAGAGGGTCTCGAAGAAAAGGGGCAGTGTGGTCGTTATCACAGACCCCAACTGTGATCCTCGATCCTCTACTGACGGACTGGGGGACATTTCTCAGAGCCGGGTTCCTCTTCTGGAGAGTTTCCGACTGTGCAGCGGCCCAGAAGATGGGTTTACCAAGACCGGGACAGAGACGACCTGGCCGAGGCGAGGCCGGCGCCAGCACTGACCTTGAGCTCTTTCGCGACCTGGGCCTTCTGCCGGTACACGGAGTACAGGACGGCCGTGACGACGGAGCTGGTGCCCAGGAGGATAAACTGGCCCAACGAGGGCCGCCCCCCGCTGTCCATGGAGGCGCCGAGTGTACACCGAGGACAGGACCGCGCTTCGCCCCGCTTCGCCGCCGTCCGCCGTCCACCCTCCACCAACAAGGACCCTTCCAGGAGGCCTGTCCCGGAAACTACTAGATAATCACCCGGAAGTGACGTCGGGAACCGGAAGTCTGGTGGGGCAAAGGGGACCGGAAAATGGGGTTGCCTGGGTGACCTCCGACCTTCTCGGACCTCTCGGAAGACTGGTCTCCGCTGGCTGCAGTGTAGGAGCGGTTTTGCGGAACTCTGCGACTTCCTGCAGCTTGGTGATTGTTTCTCATCAGCGCGGGGCTCGTCCGTCGTTACGGACTTGTCCACGTCGCCCTGGTCTCGTCCCTCTAGTTTTTATGGGTTGATGAGGTCTCTGCCATTACATTGGAAGGGAAGAATTACGTGTTAAGCACTTAGGAATGTTGTTACACCGCCTTCCTCGAGGACCAAAGTTTGATCCCTGGTACCCGCCCCCCAACAAAAAAAGAATGTTGCCACACATTTAAGCTTTAGGGCAAGCCTTAAGACCAGGACTTTATTCTGTCCTCTTTACAGATGACAAAGCAGACCAGAGAGGTTAGGGAATGTACTCAAAGCTGTACTGCTGAGGGTTTTACCAAACCCCAAGGCCCTTGTCTCTACTTGAAGACTGGCCGATTAGGTCCCATAAGCAGCCTCTTCCTCTATCATTGCCACGTAGAATAAAATATTGCTTATTAAATAAATGTAGTAGCAGCTATTGAGTGCCTATTTGTCAGGTGTTACATAAAAGCTCTAAGGTCTCCAGTGAATCCTCACAACCCTGCTATTGTTCAGATTACAGATGAGAAAAATGAGGCCTATTGAGCTTGCTCAGGATCATACAACTAAAAGTAATGGAGATGGACTTCAACCCCAGCTGGTCTGTCATGGAATCTTTTCCGACCACCATAAGGCATCTCCTTCCTAAAATAATTAGGGATACACAAAAATCTTATCCTAAACATCAACCTGCAAAAGCAGTTGTTTGTTAACCTATTTCTTACAGGCTATGCTTTAAATTTTTGAAACTACAAAGATGTACATATTGACCCAAACCAAGATCACCTATTGCCATATTTTTAAATAATGAAGGAATGAAAAATGTACATGTTGTCAAGACCCAGTTGATTAAAATAAATTTTAAAAGTGAAAAAGCAGATTACAGAACTGTGAGTATGGAGCTAGGGATTAAGCTCAGTGGCTCTGCTACCTGCCTCGTAAGCACAAGGTCCTGAGTTCAATCCCCAGTGCAAAAAAAAAAACAAAAAACTGTGAGTATGACCCCACTTATTTTTAAAAGAAGGGAGAAGAATATGTTTGCATGTCTCTGGAAAGATCCCAAAAAGCTAATCAAAATTAGTTCTTTCCGCAGAAGGAAACTAAGTGGCTAGACAACAGAGAGGTGGTTTTTGTACTTCTTGAATATAAATGTATGGCGTAGTTTGAATAAAACTTGAATTAAAAAAAAAAAAGTCCAATCACTGCCCAACCAGCAATTCGAAGGGTTTTCTGCATCTAAGGCTCTGGGAATATAACCTTACTCAGCCAAGCTCTTCTCTGGCTACTCAGGGTCTGATGAGGAGGTCGATACAACCTGTTGTCCCAGGCCTAGTGGAATTAAGGCAAGCAAAGTGCCACCAGTGGCATGCAGTTGTGGGGAATGCTGTTTATTCTCATCTAGAAGGGAGGATGGAGCGGCAGACCATGACAGGAGTACCGAAGAGTGCACGCAGCAGGGAAAGCTGAGCAAAAGTGCAAGGCTTGCAAGAGTGGACTGGGATGGCTACAGCCCAGGATGTATGACAGAGAACAAGGAGCACGTAACTAAAAAGAGAGCACTGAGGTCATATCGTATAAGTCCTTAAATGCCAAAGCAAGACTTTAAACTCCATCATGTTTGGGATGCGATCCAGCAAAGCTTTTTGAGGCTGAGCAAGGGCATGATCTAACCTGTTCTGCTTTTAATAATCAAAATTCTCCTATCCTTACATGGCAAAGGGAAAAAACAAAAAGGAGACCATAAAGTTGAAAGCTAGGGGAGTGCCTCCACTACAAATAGGTTAGAAGTTCTTTTTTATTTTTTATTTTTTTGGTACCGGGATTGAACTCGGGTCCTTGCACTTGCAAGGCAGGACACCGAACCACTGTGCTAAATCCCCGGCCCGTTTAGAAGTTCTTGTTTCTGGCTCTGTCTATCTTGGACCTTTACCAGAGACCCCCGTAGTGAGTTCTGATCTGCTTGTGCTACGGTGAAAAGCAAGAAGAAAGACACAGAGACAGTTAGACAGAGACAGGGAGCCAGGATGTCCAGTACTTGAGCAAGCAAAGGCCCTGGCTAACCAAAGCCATGGATATTTATTGGTGACATCACAGTTAGGATGGAGTAAAGGGGGTAAGCATAGTTGCTAGGGATACGTTGTTGATTAAGGAAAGGCTTGTGAAGGAAGAGACAAAGCATTCCTGAGTTAGGAACAGAACAGACAATAGATAGGTTGTGGTTAGCAAATAGCCTTGTCTTTTTAGTAAAGAAGGTTTTAATTCTGGGAATGGAATTTGGGTAAGAGTCACTCTGACCTGGGCACATTAGCTCTGGTCAGACTCACTTGTATAAATGAGCCAATTGTGGGGTTCACTCTTTACAATTTGCACTGCTCACAGCCTGCTTTGGGCATACTCAGTGGGGTGGCGGGGAGGGGCACAGACCTTCTCCTTTTATTCTCCAGGCCCTTTTATGGGTTTCTTGTGAGTTTGTTAAAAGAGAGAGAGAGACAATTTGGTTTTAAATAACTCTGCCTCTTCTGCCAGAGGCTGATATCCTTCATTAGCCATGCTGAGCACATCCTATTTGGAAAGTTTGAAATTTATTCCATGCAGGCCTCGTTAGGCTGGCCAATGAGAGATGGGCAATTTCAGCTGCAGCCAGATGTCCCAGGGAACCGTTCCCAGCGTGGAATGGCTGTCCTCGGTAAATCATGAGTTAAAATGTGTCCTTAACGTCAACAAAGTGAGATAAGTTCGTAAGGCGCCAGGCAGAGCTTCTGGAGGACAGGGGAGCTGACCTGGGACAGACAGGTTAGTAAGGACAGTGCCACCACTGAAAGCATGTCACCTGAGACTTAAATTCACATATGCCTTCAGAGGAGCAAAGCTTCCCTGAAAATCACTGGGTAATTGCTTCTTAGGCATTCGCCAGGGACCACATAAATACAAGACCAGTTGCCTTAGCATCTGCATGAGTGTGACTACACAGGTGCCATGGGAAACAGGAAATAGAAAAGATGTTGACAACAGCATCCAGTTTCCTTACAGAACTTTCCCTTGGTAGAGCCCCTAACATAATTGTCAAAAATTATCTAATATATGCAACATTTCTTTTGTTGTATTAGGGATCAAACCTAGGGCCTTGCACATGCTAGCAAAACACTCTACTATTAAGCGATCTTCCAGTTTGATATCCCCCCTACCCATCTCTGACAAAATTCCTTACACCTGAAACTTAGATCAGAGATTTTCTTTGGTTCATGGTTTCAGGGAGTTCAGTCCATGGTCAGCTGGCTCCAGGGCAGAAATGGCATGGTAGAAGGGCACAACAGAAGAAAGCTGCTTAACCCACAGCAGCCAGGAAGTAGAGAAAAGAGAACGGTGGGCACAAGAATGCAGCCTTCCAAGTTCCGCCTCCAGTGGTTTCCCTTCTCCAACACAGCACGTTCATCTACACACTTATCAGTCCCCTAGTGAACATCGAGCCCCTACAGTCCAATCACCTTCCAAAAGCCCCACTTGTGAATACAGCTAGGCATTTCACAGCTAAACTATAAACGTTTATTTTTTGTTGGTGGGGGTTGTTTGTTTTGCTTTTGATTTTTGTTTTGTTGGGGGGTTTTGTTTGTCTTTTTTTTTGTTTTGTTTTGATACAGTGTCTCACTGTGTAACTCAGGTTGGCCTTGAACTCACAATCCTCCTGCCTCAGCCCTCTCGAGTGTTAGGATTATAGGTGTGCGCCGCCACCACCCCCAACTCCAGCCTGAACAAAGTGTGAATGAGCGCTCATGCCGTGCCCTGTTCTCCCCCACATACTCAATGCCACACCAGAGTAATGTGCAAGACGTGCTCTCTGACCTTGTAAAGGGGGCGTGGGGAGAATTTTTACAACTATTTAAACCCTACCGATTTGTAAAACAAATCTGAGACTTCGTAAAACTGAGCACACTGCAAAACAGATCAGTTATAAATACGTTTTTAAAAAATGAAAACCAGCTAACAAGAACAGGAAAATACATAGCAATGGGCACCCAGGATGAGTTACTCATACAGTTGGACCCCATTTTGACAGTGAGCGTCTCAGGAGCCTTGTCAAAAAGAAAATGTGTTGGGATACAATTTAGTCAAGGTGGGACAGCACCTACAGTTCAAGGCAATTTGTGCAAAGCCAAAAGAGGATGGAAGCAGGTTTATCTACCTGTCAGTGAGTTGATACTTTTCACCTATGATGTTGCTGCTTTCAGAAGCTCATAGAAGAATGTAGGCTTTGAGGGTGTCCTAAAAGAGATGACATGCTGTTGGGGTCAGGTCCACACCCGGTGGTTTCCATTTCTCAGTCTCCTTTGGACTAGTGGGACCTGTGCACCGTTGTCCAGCCAAAGGTTCCAGCAGAAAAGGTGGGAGTCCTTGTAAAAAGAGAACAGGTTCCCCCGGACGGAATGGTAGGCACCACACACCACAGGAGAAGGGTGACTGACCCATCCTTGCTTCACCACGAAGTCCCTCAAGGCCTTGTTAGGGGCCTGGCACTCTGTTTGTCTTTTTTAACAGCTTTATCAACCTACAAGAAATACATACTTAAAGTACATCCTTTGACCATTTTTGACACATGTCTACACCTGTGAAACTGTCACCGTAATCACGACAGTGAAAATATCCATCACCCTCCAAATCTAGTTACCTTTTGTAATCCCTTTCCTATATCGCCCACCCACGACCACCCGCAGGAAACCACCAACTTGCTTCCTATCACTAGATCAGTTTGCAAAACTGGAATCAAATAGTAAGTACTCTCTATCCTCCACCTCAGAGTAAGACAATC